GGGGGGGGGGGGGGGGGGTAGGCATCCTTGCTTGATGCTTGTAGATACAGCAGTTCAGCCAATTCGCGGGGATGGTAGTTGGGACCGAGTGCAGTGCTCTGGTCCCTCGCAAGGTCCTTGTCAACTACGGCAATTCAAAGCCAATTTTCTGATCCAAATCCAGCAATAAAATAGGAGGCCAACGAACAAACAAAAAAGCCCTCCTTCTGGCGTGCGGAGTCCCGACCTGGGTGTGTTTTGTAGGAGAGGGCATCACGGAGCAGCGGCGCGTGCGCGTTGGCACGCCCAGATCTGTTGCTGGGGCCGTGCGGTCGAAAGCTGCAGCTGCGGCCCGAAAAAAAATCTGCAAACCTGGGTCCATACCATTCACGACCTACTGCTGTACACGCGTGTCGTCACGGAGCCCCGACCCCCCACCCCCAACTGCTGATCTACAGCAGGTACACACACCTAGCTTCGAACGTCCCGGTGACGTAGGCCGTGTTTACCACACGAGCATATATCTCCACGGACTGATAACTGACGTACCTCCGAACGTCTAGTGATCTGAGCGCTGGCGCGGAGTCGAGCGTCCCTTCCAGCATCGACGCGCCCTCCGCCCCGAAACGGTTCCTGGCGAGGTTGAGGTCGGTCAGGGAGGAGTTATTCTCCAAAGCGGCGCACAGCTCGCGCATACCGTCCGCGTCAAGCCCTGTGTTACTGGTGAAACAAGGAAAAAAAAAAAGGACGTGGAACGGACGACAAACAACCTCCGAGTCAAGCCCCGTGTGAATGAAAAAATGTGGACTCCCGGATATTCGTATCCTCTTATACTTAAACACACATACGAAGGGAGTACAGAACCTTCGACAGACGATAATTCATCGCTCTGCTCTGGATCTTTACTCTGTGGGTTACTTGCTCCGACAAGAGTCGGGGTGGATCTTTATGGTTGGTACCGAGAGCCAAGAAAGGTCTCGGCTAACGCCCACTCGCAACCTTACCCTGGCCTTGACCGAGCACGCGCCTAGCAAACAAGAACAAGTCTCGAGAAAGGGGGGGGCAATGTGGTGACCACCTTAATAAAGGTACACTTTCCCCAACGTCTGTCGAGGACGACTCCCTCTTTTCACAATGGCGTCGACGAAGAGCGGTCTCTGTGTGTCCTTCTCCTTCTTTCACCCATTTTTCCAACATGGGCAGCAATCAGAAGAGGAAAGACAACAAGGCTGGTTCGAACCAGCAGGCGGGCACCGGCGCCGGTCGCGGTGCTCCTCAGACCCCCTCAGCAAAACCCAGACCCAAGCCTTCACAGCAGCCTCCACAGCAGTGTCAGCAGTCATCGGGCAGGAAGTCGTCCAACAACGGTAAAGGATCCCTTGCCAGCGTCGACACTTCTTCGCCCGGCTCAAAAGACTACACTAGCGTTGCACGCAAAAGAGCTGAAAAGGGTGGCTACTCCAAAAATGGAGGTGGCAACTCCAAAAATGGAGGTGGCAACTCCAACCCGCTGGAGTTGCCACCTCCATTTTTGGAGTTGCCACCCTTTAGCGGGTTGGAGTTGCCACCTCCATTTTTGGAGTTGCCACCCTTTTCAGCTCTTTTGCGTGCAACGCTAGTGTAGTCTTTTGAGCCGGGCGAAGAAGTGTCGACGCTGGCAAGGGATCCTTTACCGTTGTTGGACGACTTCCTGCCCGATGACTGCTAACACTGCTGTGGAGGCTGCTGTGAAGGCTTGGGTCTGGGTTTTGCTGAGGGGGTCTGAGGAGCACCGCGACCGGCGCCCGTGCCCGCCTAAAAGGAGAAAAAAAGAAAAGAAAGGGGAAGGACGACAAAACAAGCAAGGAGAGTGGTACGCATACCATTTGTTTTGTGTGCTCAAGAGGTGAAGGAGAACGACAAGTACGGACCCACGGTCGCCAACAAGCGGTAGGTGTTGGTCATTTTGTGTGCTGTTGGATGGCGACAAAAGGGTCCTTCCGTCGTGGCAGAAGGGACCCCAGGGTCGTATGATAGGTAGTGACGTCTTCCTTTGCCGCTGCGGAGAGGGCAGGCATGATTTTCTCTGTTGTCACACGCACACACACTCGGTAGAACTCTGACTAGAAAACATGTCTGCGTTTTCTTGCCTCACTAGTGTAGTGCCGGCTACATAGTGCGGTCGATGCTACTGAAAGATGAAAAAAACGGACACACATACGTACACCTCTTCTCATTGTTCAGCCGGCTAGTAGAAGCTAGCAACAAAAACACGCACACACGCGCGCGCACGCGCGCACACACCTCAGGTCGAGATGCTCGATGGTGTCGTTCTGAGCCAAGATGTGTCCCAGGATTCGCGCGTTGGAGTTGCCCCCGCCGGCGACGGGTCTCCGCTGCTTGGACCCCGTCCCCCTTAGCCTCAGCTTCCTGTTTGCGGTGCCCCCCGCGGTAGTAGTGGCACGCCGGCCAGTTGAGAGAGCGGTTCAGCCATTGAGGGGGGCGGGAGGGAGGACACGGGGTATTAGTTGTGGCTTGGCTTGGTCAGTTTGGTTGACCGTGCACGCATTTCGAGATTGAGCACACCCTTCATGATACGAATATCTGAGACTGATTCCAACGTTCGGGCGCTCATTCTTTGCCTCCGTATTATGTAGTGTGGGAGTCTCTCAGGGGTCACGGCCGGGGGGGGGGGGGG